ACTCCAAAGATTGGCATCTTCATAATAGTGGCGTTTAGTCTACTTAAAAGGATGAATGAGTGTGGGTCCCTGGATCAGTTAGTCCAGGTAGACATCCTTGTTGAATACTAGGTCCAATCTTGGAGGAGAATATCCTTTAGGTACCTCTAAATAGCATAATGGCCACAAAAAGGCTCATATCTCATATTAGATTTTATAGGTGAAAGTGCCAAGCCAGTAGTTTAACTACTTCAATACTTGGCGTTTTCCCATCCTTCCTGCTTAGGTCAATTTTCAGCTTTTAATGCTGTCACATTTTGAATGACAATTACACGGTCATGCAACACTGTACCCATATGAAATTTATATAATTTTGTTTGCACACCAATAGAGCTTTAATTTGGTGGTACTTTATCACCACTGGGTTTTTTATGTTTGCTAAATAAACAAAAAAAGGACAGAAGAAAACCTTGAAAATAAATATGCATTTTTCTTCATTTCTGTTATAAAGTGTTGCAAATAAATACTTTTGTTCATACACTTAGGCCAAAATGTATTCTGCTACATTTCTTTGGTGAAAATATGTTTTTTTTAAACTTTTTTTGATGTTTTTCTTTTTTTATTACATTGTGTTCTATGTTTTATGAATTCTTTTTTGGATACTGTGACCAAAGCAACGGAATGTTACCATAGTACTACTTTGGGAAGGTGAGCGCTAGGGGTGTTCTGGGGAGGACATCAATTGACATGAACCCAGATTGAGAGAGCACCTGCTTGGCAGTTATTGTACTATAGGCCAGGTAGGAAACTGTTAAAGGGTCTAAACCCAAAAGCAAAAATGTAAGATTTTTCAGATTATCAGTCCTTAAATATGATGATTGCTGTTCTGTCCTCGCTACACATTTTCCTATGTGTAACTCAACATGCAGCTAAATCCTCCTATTCTGCAAAAGTCAGGCTGAGTGTAATCTTAAAGCTTTATTGCTTTATTGAGAAAACAGGGTGGGGTGAACCTGTGGGAAAAACAGATGAGAAATACATACAATCAATGTAAGAAACATGCAAAACACAATACAATAACTAGGCTGAAGATGCCAATAAGTCCGTGCTCACCAGCAAGGCTTCCTGTAGGAAATGTAGAATTAATCCATCAACATGTGCTGGTTGATGACTGTTTTTCTCTGCCTCAGTTTTAGGATGGAGTCTGGGCTCTCACGAAGCACCCGTTTCCTTTTCTCAGAATGAGGGATGATGGACTTTCTTATTAAAGTTATACAGTCTCCAGCTTCTGCAAGCAGTAAATTTCAGAGCTCCATCTAGTGGGCAAATTTAATATTGTAGGGAGGACAACATAATGAATTTCCCTGCTGTAGGCAGAACAACTGCTTTAGTTTTCTTTTTTTAGGCTTGCTTTCCTTTATGTGATTCTGCCAGCACAGTTGTTATTTTTCAACATCCTTTCGCAGACCAACCTGTTCAGAAAAGGTAAGATGGTTGAGGCAAACCATTTTTCGCTGACAGTGACAGTGCTTACAATGATCAGCTTTTAGTATTCATTTATGTAAATCCTTTATCTCAAAAGGAAAACTATTGAGTTGACTGTTTGGAAAGTGTTAGCAGGCATTCGGCTTTAATTTGTTAGTCAAATCCATCTAAATTTGCTAGTGCATCTAATGCTACTCTCTCCACAGATTGACAATGATGCTGTCCAAGGGTGGCTCCATTATGCCTCCATCCTGTTTGGAGGCTCCTTAAGATGGAAAGTGTGTTTACTGACCTGATAACCAGCCACCACATTTAAGGATTGGTAAACTGCAATATTATACATCTTTGTTTTTTGTGTTTAGATATACTTTAACATCTAGAAGGGATTTAATTAGGAGTTATATTATAAAATCCATGGACAAACCATAGAACAGGCAGACTTATTGGCATCCTTAGTGCTAAATGCAATCCTCTACATTTTTCTAGATCTCTATTGTGTTCTTTAAACTTCTTAAAGCCTAACTTTAAGTTTAATTTCACCTCTAAATAGTGTCAGCCAAGCTGGCCCAAGTAAATTTTATAAACCTCTTAACAATTGAACAACATCAATCCAGTAAATTTAATTTCACCTAGTTCTGATCATCATGAGCAAAGACATTTTCATGGGTTCATAATGTCCCCAGAAATGGAAATAGATTATTTTGTCACATCAGTCTGATATTCTTAGTTTATTTCAGAGTTCATGTCTCACAGTCTAATTAAGCAATGAGTATTGTAATAATGCAAGATAATTATCACATCCATTTCTATTATGTGACCGTCTCTGAACCTGCTGCTACATAGGGTTGTGATCTACCGTGTACATTGTTCTGTTTTCCCTACAGGTTAATAACAACTAGGCACACAGAGTGACATGCAGCTGCACTCTCCAATATTCCATGAAAAGATATAATAGGGTGAGTGAAGGTGAAAGATATAATATACATGAAAAATTGGCATCTCCAGGCAACAAAGGAACTCATTTAACTGCATATTAAGGCTGCAGAGATGTTGATGTCAGGAAGTCCATTCAATTTACCTTAAAGTCAAATTCCATGCAAAATGTCCATTGTGTGTTTAACATTCCTGGTTACAAAGGGGTTGTGTTTAACCACTTGCCCTCCAGAAGGTTTACCCCCCCCCCCCCCCCCCCGATGACCAGGCCATGTTTTGCTTTACAGCACTGCACTACTTTAACTGACAATTGCTCGGTCATGCATCACTGTATACAAATGAAATTTAGATCTTTTTTTTCACATAAAAACATATTTCTTTAGGTGGTATTTGATCATCATTGGGTTTATTATTTTTTTATCCAATAAGAAAATTAAAAAATAACATTTCTTCATAAATTATGTATTCTGCTACATGTCTCTGGCAAAAAAAATCCCAATAAGTGTATAATAATTGGTTTGCATGAAAGCTATAGCACCTAAAAAAGGCAGAATTTTTACTTCTTTTTTATACTAGTATTCTCAGCGATCAGCGACTTATTGCAGGATTGTGGGACTGCAGCGGGCATTTTGACACTAACTGACATTGGGTGGGAACTGAAAAACTGCCACTGACATTCCCAGTGACACTAATACAGTGATCAGTGCTAATAAAAAGCACTGACACTGTACTAATGACACTGGGCAGGAAGGGTCTAACATCTGGGGCAATCAAAGGGTTAACTTTGTGATAGGGAGTGTGATTAATGTGTTGTGTTTTTACTAGGGGATGTGCTGATTTTTATCTCTCTGCTTTGCAGATAAAACAAACAGCATGTCCCCACTGACAGGAGAGGGATCTGTGTTGTTTGCACTCACAGATCTCTCTCCTGTCAACAGCTCCACCGATCACCAGGTCCTGGCCATGAATTGCTGGCCGGGACCTGGTGATTGCCACCTTTGAGAGCCAATGACAGTGCGGGTAGGGTGGCGTACGCGTGAGCCCCCTACCCAGAAATGCAAAATCACGCATACTTACGTGATTTTGCGCAGAGCGGCAGCCCTGTACAGTAAAATTGCTATAGGGAGGTCGGGAAGTGGTTAAAGGGAGTGTATATATGTTTATACAGTATATACGCATAACAATCATTCGTACATTATAAGCACCCACCATAACATTCATAACATTTTAAACTCCCGCTTAACATTGAGTAGGTCCCCTTTTTGCTGCCGAAAAACAGCCCTGACCCATCAAGGCATGGACTCCACTAGACAAAGCATCACACTACCTCCACTGGCTTGCCTTCTTCCCATAATGTATCCTGGTGCCTTTTCTTCCCCAGGTAAGTGACGTACATGCACCCGGCCATCTACATGATCTAAAAGAAACCATGATTCATCAGACCGGGCCACCTTCTTCCTTTGCTCTGTGGTCCAGTTCTGATGTTTAAGTGCCAATTGTAGGCGCTTTTAGCTGGTCACCATGGGCGCCATGATCAATCTGTGGCTACACAGCCCCACAAACAACAAACTGTGAAGCACTGTGTGTTCTGACCCCTTTCTATTGGAAGCAGGATTAACCTTTTCAGTAATCTGAGCTACAGTAGCTCTTCTATTGAACCAGACCACATGGACCAGCCTTCAGTCAGTGCTGCTCACTAGGGATGAGTCAAACATACCTGGTGAATTTTTACCATACGTTTTTGTGGGATTTTTAAGGCACCCTTGAAACATATACAAAGAAATCACTTGTTAAAAAGATAAATATTTTATTTTAGCAAAAAATTGCTTTTGTTTTGACACATTGACGTATATCAGATAGGTAGTGCATACCTGACCTATATCAAAAGCAATGGTTTATAACAAAGTATTTACTACACAGATTTGTGGTTTATGCAGTATGTATCCAGTGGTATCCCTCAAAAGCTGATTTCCATCTTGCAACCTCAAGTTTGACTACAGATATATATTCAGCCTGGGATCCAACTCATTTCAAATACATGACTACAGATTCTTCTTCAGGGAAAGGATACCACTCTATAACATTAATTGTTATCAATGAATCAAGAATTGATGCACATCCTTACAATTAAACAACAATAAATTAGCCGTACGGAATACATAACTTACATAACCACCAAAAATAGTTAAAAGGAAATGCTTCACTGTTTAGAAGAGAAGTTTCTTCCATAGCTGAGGTCATCAAATGACGTGCAAGGACCACTGGAGCCACATCACAGACGCTGTCATAATAAGATATACCGTATTTGCCGGCGTATAAGGCGACTGGGTGTATAAGACGACCCCCTAATTTTCCAGTTAAAACATAGGTTTTGGGCTATACTCGCCATATAAGACTACCCCCCTTCCGATGCAACACCATTTAACCACAAGCCTACAGGGCACTTATACCCCCTTCCTGCCCAGGCCAATTTTCAGCTTTCAGCACTGTCACACTTTGAATGACAATTGCGCGGTCATGCAACACTGTACCCATATGAAATTTTTATCTTTTTTTTGGAACAGATAGAGCTTTCTTTTGGTGGTATTTAATCAACTCTGGGTTTTTTTTTTAAACAAACCAAAAACCACTGAAAATTTAGAAAAAAAAATTTTTTTTCTTAGTTTTTGTTCTAAAATTTTGTAAATAAGTGATTTTTCTCCTTCACTGATGTGCGCTAGTGAGGCTGCAGTAATGGGCACTGATAGGCTGCACTGATGGATACTTCTAGGTGGCACTGATGAGGCACTGGTAGGTGCCACTGATGGGCATTGACAGGCATCACTGATGGGCACTGAAAGGCATCGCTGATACATGGCACTGATATATGGCACTGTTAGGCGGCACTGACTGGCACTGTTAGGTGGCACTGACTGGCACTGATAGGCGGCACTGTTAGGTGGCACTGACTGGCACTGTTAGGTGGCACTGACTGGCACTAATAGGCGGCACTGATGATCACTGATAGACGGCACTGATTGGCACTGATAGGTGGCACTGATTGACAGCACTGATAGGTGGAACTGATGGGCTGATGGGCACACTGATATGATATGCGGCACTGACTGGCACTAATAGGTGGCACTGATTGGCAGCACTGATTGGCATTGATAGGTGGCACTGACTGGCACTGATGGGTGACACTGAAAGGCAGCTCAGATGGGCACTGATATGTGGCATTGATGTGCACTGGTATGCACTGATATGTGGCATTGATGTGGCACTGATGGGCACTGGCACGTGGCACTGCTGGGGCTACACTGATCATCAGGGCACACTGATCATCAGTGCCCTGATGATCAGTGTACATGTCCCCTCCGCAGAAAGCCGATTACCGACTCTCCTCTCCTCTGTCAGCGTGACAGCTCGAGAGGAGAGAAATGCTGATAACCGGCATTTCCCTGTTTACATGTGATCAGCTGTGATTGGACACAGCTGATCACATGACTGAGCTAACATCTTTGGCTCTTTCCGTGATCAGTGATCCGCTGTGTCTGACGGACACAGCGCACCGCCGATCGCCGCGTGCTCCCTGAGCGGAGAATGGGAGGATGTCATATGAGCCAATCACGGCAAGTGATGTATTCTATTAATGAATACAGAGCCTGCTCAGATTGGCTGCGTCAGAGAGGCGGGCTGATGATGTCACAACTTCAGCCAATCCGAGCAGGCTCTGTATTCATTAATAGAATACATCGCTCGCCGTGATTAGCTCAGCACGGTATACATTATGTAGCCGAAGCTACCGTACAGTATTACCGCACATCCAGCGGGCTGACATTCTAAACACTATGTATAAGACGACCCCCAATTGTTGGGGTACGTTTTTAAGTATAAAAAGTCGTCTTATACGCCGGAAAATACTGTATATATGTGTATGATGCTATATATAGAAATACAGCAAAACATCAAATAAATAAATTGTAGCTTTAGAAAAATCTTAGTGTGCTTCCTTTTTACTAGACACATAAGTTAAGGGAAAATAAACCAAGATGGATTATATATTTCCCCATAATAGATGTTATATAGTCTATAACAGCAGTACCTGGGATCAGTTCGAGGCAGGTTTGCAGTTAAATCAGGGGCCAAATCTGAACCCCACTGAAGTCAATTCCACGTAACTCCAGCAGCTGGCATCCACTGCATCCCTAGCAACTGCTGACATCACTAGCACATTGGTTTTACATGGCTGGTAATCCCTGGCCATATAAGCAAAGGGGCAGGGAGAGCAGTGACATTACTGCCTAAATATGCTCAGTGCCCATATTGAGCAATGACATTGGGCAATTATGGCCATAGACATTGGTAAATGGAGACACTACTATCTCTTCCCCTTCACTTTTATTGGTTGGGGAGCTGTTATTGCTCTGGAATACCAACGGGATCGGTTGTGTGCATTAGGCTGAGTGGGTGTCATGGTTGACAATGGATTTACAATGACAGCCTTTTTGGGGGATTTTTATTGTTTTTCCAAACAGCCTTTTTAAATGTTACATTTTTTGTGTGAATGAGTAGGGGTACTATACTCATTCACATAGGGTAGGGAGGGCAGTATCTAGAGTTCACTTAATTTTATAGGGGCTTCCAGATTCTGATCATCTCCCTGTCAGCAGACCCCTACAACCACTAGGCCATGGTTGTGTGACAAGAGGCCCTTGTCCTCATCAATATGGGAAAGGTGCTTTTGCCAGGGGTACCCCCCTCCTTTTTATTTTGAAGGCATGTGGTGTGGTAGGGTTTAGGGTGGGCAGTTGCACCCTCATCTCCCCTTTTCCTGGCCATCCAGACTGCTTTCTTGAACAAATGGTCTGGTATGGATTTTTAAGGTGACTTTCTATATATTTATTTTGCATGGGGTTCCCTTTAAAATCCATACCAGATTTGAAGGGTTGAGTATGAATTTTTTTTGGGGGGGACTAATGTTTTTTCACTCATGCTAAAGGATGTGCTCCAGCAAAAGTGACATTTCCAAAGAAAATAAATGCAGTTTAAGTTGCAGGCAAACGGCATACAGTGCTGTGAAAAAGTATTTGCCCCTTCCTGATTTTTTTTTTTTGCATATTTGTTACACATATGATTCAGATCATCAAACAAATCTTCTTACTACATAATGATAACCTGAGTAAACAAAATAGGCAGTTTTTATATGATAATTTAATAAGGGAAAAAAGCTGTCCAAACTTGCCTGGCCCCATGTGAAAAAGTAATTGTTCCCTAAACCTAATAACTGCAATCAACCATTTGCGATATCTTGCAATGAGTCTTTAACATCGCTTTGGAGGAATTTTGGCCCACTCTTCTTTGCAATATTGTTTTAAGTCAGCCACAATGGAGGGTTATCGAGCATGAATGGCCTGTTTAAGGTCATGCTACAGCATCTCAATCAGATTTAAGTCCAGACTTTGACTAGGCCACTCCAAAACATTAATTTTGTTTTTTTTTTTAGCCATTCAGAGATGGGCTTACTGGTGTGTTTTGGCTCATTGGCCTGCTGCATAACCCAAGTGCGTTTGAGCTTGAGGTCACGAACTGATGCCCAGATATTCTCTTTAGGATTTTCTGGTAGAGAGCAGAATTCATGGTTCCATCAAATATGGCAAGTTTTCCAAGGCCTAAAGCTGCAAAGCAGCCCCAGACCATCACACTACCACCACCATGTTTGATTGTAGATATGATGTTCTTTTTATGAAATGCTGTGTTAGTTTTATGCCAGATGTAAAAGGACGCACACCTTCCAAAAAAAGATCAACTTTTGTCTCATCAGTCCACAGAATATTTGTCCAAATGTCTTGGGGATTATCAACATGTTTTTTGGCAAATGTGAGACGAGCCTTTGTGTTCTTTTTGGTCAGCAGTGACTTTTGCCTTGGAACTCTCCCATGGATGACGTTTTTGCCCAGTCTCTTTCTTATTGCTGAATCATGAACACTTACATTAACTAAGGCAAGTGAGGCCTTCAATTCTTTAGGTGTAGTTCTGTGTTCTTTTATGACTTCCTGGATGAGGTTGTTGTGCTCTTGGAGTAATTTTGGTAGGCTGGCCACTCCTGGGAATGTTCACCACTGTTCCAAGTTTTCTCTATTTGTGGATAATTGCCCTCACCATGGTTTGCTGGAGTCCCAAAGCCTTAGAAATGGCTTTGCAACACTTTCCAGACTGATACACATCAATCACTTTGTTTCTCATCTGTTCTTGAATTTCTTTAGATTACAGCATGATGTGTTGCTTTTTGAGATCTTTTAGCATGCTTCACTTTGTCAGGCAGCTTAAATTTAAGTGATTTCTTCATTCAACAGGTCTGGCAGTAATCAGGCCTGGGTGTGGCAAATGAAATGAGTTTTCCCCCTCAAGTGTGACTAATCATTGTTAACCACTTGCCGACCGCAGATAGCTGAATGACAGCTTCACTGTGGCTGGCCAGTTCTGGGAGGGCATCATATTACGTCCTCCCAGAACGCGCCCTCCCGCACGCCCACAGCGATCTCTGTGTTTGCTGTGTCCTACGGACACAGCTGATCATGTGATGTGGTAGGCCAATCACAGCAGCCTTTTACCATGTGATCAGCTGTGTCCAATGACACAGCAGATCACCAGTAAATGCAGTTGCCGGTTATCGGCTGCACTTTCCTCACACTGTCACAGCGCGAGGAAAGTACTGCCGAAAACCGGCAATTGTCAGAGGACGGATCGGCACTGATCATCAGGGTACTGATGATCAGTGCCCTGATGATCAGTGCCAAGCAGTGCCACCCACCAGTGCTGCCCACAAGTGCCCCAGCAGTGCCGCCCACAAGTGCCCAACAGTTCCACCCACAAGTGCCCAGCAGTGCCACCCACCTGTAGCCATCCATGCCACCCACCTGTGCCCATCAGTGCTCAGCAGTGCCACCCACCTGTGCACAGCAGTGCCACCCAGTGTCCATTAGTGCCACCCATTAGTGCCGCCCATCAGTGCTGCCCAACAGTAACACCCTTCAGTGCCCAGCAGTGCCACCAGGCAGTGCCCAGCAGTGCCACCAGGCAGTGCCATCAGTCAGTGCCACCAGGCAGTGCCGCCTATCAGTGCCCATCAGTTCCACCTATCAGTGCCCATCATTGCATATCAGTGCCAGCTCATCAGTGCCGCCTATGAGTGCTGCCTATCAGTGCTGTCTCAGTGCCCATCAGTGCTGCCTATTAGTGCCCATCATTGTTGCATATCAGTGCCAGCTTATCAGTGCCGCCTATCAGTGCCACCTCATCAGTGCCCATCAGTGCTGCCTATCAGTGCAGGTTCCATCAATGCACATCAGTGAAGGAGAAAAATTACCTGTTTGCAAACTTTTATAATAAAAACAAAGAAAAACTTATTTTTTTTCACAATTTTTGCTCTTTTTTTGTTTATGGCACAACAAAAATAAAACACCCAGCGGCGATTAAATACCACCAAAAGAAAGCTCTGTTTGTGTGAAAAAATGCTAAAAATGTTATATGGGTACAATGTTGCATGACCGTGCAATTGTTATTCAAAATGTGACAGCGCTGAAAGCTGAAAATTGGCCTGGGCACGAAGGGGGTATAAGTGCCTGGTAGGCAAGTGGTTAATTAATGATTTAGCGGGGGGGGGGGGGGCAATTACTTTTTTACATGTCAGACAGGTTAGGACAGCTTTTTGAAATCATCATCTAAAAACTGCATTTTGTATTTACTCGGGTTATCTTTGTAATATTAAAATCTGTTTGATTATCTGAATCATTTAAGTGTGATAAATATGCAAAAAAAAGCACACAAACAGGAAGTAAATACTTTTTCACAGCACTGTATCATTGACATCTTCTTTAAACAAAATGCACACAGACCCCTCCAAAGATCCCCCAAAATACGTAGCAGAATGTTATGTATTCTGGGGAACCTTTGGAGGGGTCTGTGTGCATTTTTAAAGCCAGCAGGGAAATGTAATTTGCCAGCAATTTAACACACATTCTTACCTTTGTAAATATCAGTACTTTGAAAAATCACTGATCCCAGCTGAATAGAATTAAAAAAAAATGTTTTGTATTGGTAATGTTCCACATGGCAGTTCCCACCCCCTAGAAAATTTTTGGCAACCCTTTTGCCTATTATCCCAGAAAATGGGATTATTTGATTTGACAGATTGGCTCCCATTGATTTCAAAGAGGTTCAGGTTTGGCGTCTGAAGCTCTTTGAAGTTTGCTGAACCCTACTCAACAGGGTTGCCAATTTAGGGACAGTTTGTAAAAATCAGGCAATTATTACACTGTCTGTAAATTTCTGTTACAGACAGCTGACCAACTTCAGAACTGTGCATGAGCAGCTCCGAAGACGGCTGGGCTTGGGTGGGCTCAGGCAAGCTTAGGCGGGGGGCAGCCTGGCAGGCACGTGGTGAGTGACTTTATAGTGCCTGCTTGCAGTCTCTTACAAAAATTGTAGGAGTGGGGGGGGAGCCAAGAGTGGGAGTGTGGGATGGGGGGGGACTGTACGAAATTGAGAGGAAGGATCCAACGGGCCTCAGTGGTAGGAGCGGGATGGGGAAAAGGTTGAGCTGGAGGACGAAAGGATGAACAAGCAGAAGAGGACCATGGCCTGAATGAACCTGCTCTGATTGCCTTCACTGCCCTGCACCTGAGCAGTTCTCGCAAAGTCAGTGTGTGTTTGTGGGGGGGAATCACTGATGTAAGGGGGGACTCAAAGTTTTATAAAGGTTCCCCCTTATATCAGTAAGCCCTCTTACCTTAGTGTATTCACTGTATGGAAGATGGTCTATGGTCACCAGAGTCCCCCTACCCCATATCAGAATTCCCCTTTAAATCAGTGTTTTTAGCATTCCCCTTTACATCAGAGTTTGTAGGATTCCCCCTTACAGTGTGGACCATGTTATTGGGGGGAATGCTGCTGACTCTGATGCAAGAGGGGGGCCCTGGTGACCAGAGACCACCTTACATCAGAGTTCCCCCTTATACCAGAGTCCACAGCATCCCCCTTACATCATGGTCCACAGCATTCCCAATTTACATCAGATTTCTTCTTTACATCAGGACATTAGGGTCTATAGAGTTCCCCTTTACATCACAGTTCCCTTTTACATTAGGGTCTGCAGAGTCCCCCTTACACTGTATGGGGAAACCCTGCAGACTCTGATGTAAAGGGAAAGTGTAAGGTAAGGGAGAACTTTGTGGACTGGGATGTAAAGGGGAACTGTGTGGACTGTTGTGTAAGGAGGGGGCTCTGGTGACCAGAGACCCCCTTACAGCATAGTTTCCCTTTTCACCGTAGCATTGCCCCTTATATCAGACTCCACGAATTTCTTCTTTACATCCCAGTCCACAGTGTTCCCTTTTACATTAGGATCTACATTCGAATCCTCCCTTGCACTGTAAACGGAAACCCTGCAGACTGTGATATAAAAGGAAACTCTGTGCTGGGTTATATTACTCTGACCTTCATGTAAAAAGAAAAATATGGTTTTTGCCTATTGTTATCCCTTAAATATATTGCTTATAGCACTAGCTACATTTTTGTAGCTTAAATATTGATATTTGCATTGTTTAGCACTAAAAACGGTCATGCTATGTACTTTTGAAGTGTTAGTAAAAAATGTGGCTCTGTCAATACATTTCATGCATTGTGGCAGTAAAAGAAGTGTTGTCAGTAAATTTGTGCTGTCCTGTCAGTTACATTTTGGTGTTCTGTCAGTAAATTTCATTTCGGGAGGTTGGCAATAGACCGACCCAAGGGCAGTTCAGCTTCTCCTTAGTTTTAATTAAATCTAAATATTTAATATTTAAAAATATTGTAAATGACATTACCATTAGAGATGAGCGAAGTATTCAAAAATTCGATTCGGCGAATTCGAGGAATAAATTTGATTCGAGGCGAATATATTCGCTGCGAATTTAACTTTAAAAAGGGTGTTTCTAGGCTTCAGAGAGCCTTTATATTAGTGCAGAACACTGTACCTTTAATTTAAATGCCCTTGGAGTCTGCTGGGGAAGAGAAATAATACTGTCAGTCAGTATGACATGCAGATGAGTGCCGTCGATCTTAGAATCACCGCACACTTCACTCATTTGGGCAGTCACGGGGCCAAAACCAGAGTGTGGAGCCACAGTGTGGCGGTGGAGGCAGCAGCAATGGGAGGCCATACAGCACCCTATGACAAAATGGAACCCACCAGCAGTGTGAGGAGACCTGAAAGTGGCACATGGCAGAGTGTGGCGATGGAGACAGCAGCAATGGGAGGCCATACAGGGACCCATGACACACTCTGGACCTGGCAGCAGCTTGAGGAGGCGGTACAGGGGCCCATGACAGATTACGGGCCTGGCAGCAGCATGAGGAGTCGGTACGGGGGCCCATGGCAGATTACGGGCCTGGCAGCAGCAATGGGAGGCCCGTAATCTGCCAGCACCCTATGACAAAATGGAACCCACCAGCAGTGTGTGGAGACCTGAAAGTGGCACATGGCAGAGTGTGGCGATGGAGACAGCAGCAATGGGAGGCCGTACAGGGACCCATGAGACATTCTGGACCTGGCAGCAGCATGAGGAGGCGGTACAGGGGCCCATGGCAGATTACGGGCCTGGCAGCAGCAATGGGAGGCCCGTAATCTGCCAGCACCCTATGACAAAATGGAACCCACCAGCAGTGTGAGGAGACCTGAAAGTGGCAAATGGCAGAGTGTGGCGATGGAGACAGCAGCAATGGGAGGCCGTACAGGGACCCATGACACACTACGGGCCTGGCAGCAGCATGAGGAGGCGGTACGGGGGCCCATGGCAGATTACGGGCCTGGCAGCAGCAATGGGAGGCCCGTAATCTGCCAGCACCCTATGACAAAATGGAACCCACCAGCAGTGTGAGGAGACCTGAAAGTGGCACATGGCAGAGTGTGGCGATGGAGACAGCAGCAATGGGAGGCCGTACAGGGACCCATGACACACTCTGGACCTGGCAGCAGCAAGAGGAGGCGGTACAGGGGCCCATGGCAGAGTGGCGAAGCGTAAGCAGCTTAAATTGAAGGCCATACAGAGGCCTATGTTAAAAATAATAACATGTTTGGGGCATGATTCATGGCGGATTTAGTCAGTTGTGTCAGGAACTGGTGGTTTGAAATCCAGACTAATCCACGCCTGATTCATTTTCACAAACGTGAGTCTCTCCACACTTTGGGTGGACAGTCGTGTCCTCCGCGGAGTTACAATACCTCCTGCCGCACTAAACACGTGCTCCGATGCCACGCTACTGGCCGGGCATGACAGCCTTTCAAGGGCAAATTCAGCTAGTTGGGGCCAAAGGTCAAGTTTCGTTGCCCAGTAGTCAAGGGGATTGTCTACCTCGGTTGGCAGGGTGCTGTCCAAGTAGGCCCAAGCCTGTTTGAGGTCCTGCTCCAGGTCCACCTGATGCTGCTGCTGGTGAAGAAAGCTACTCATCATCGACTGCAGACTGAGGCAGCCGCTGCTGGTGGAGCTGCCACTGCTCCTACCACCCCACCCCTCCCCTGCTGCCATGGCAACGGAACGCGAGCGCACAGGGCCCACAGTGTCTGAGGATGGACGTTGGCGCAGAAAGGCAGAGACCAACTGACTACATAGGTGGTTTTTATAGTACGTTATTTTGGCCTCCCTCTCAGCAGGTGTGAAAAAGGCCACCATTTTTGAACGGTAGCGAGGGTGCAACAAGGTGGACAGCCAAAAGTCATCCCTCTGTCTGATGGTTATTATTCGACTGTCGCTACGCAAGCAACCGAGCATGCTATGGGCCATTTGAGCCAAGGAATGCGAGGGACTCCCTGCCTCCATCTCCACAGCATACTGCCACGGTGCGTCTGGGTCCTCTGTCTCCTCCTCCTCCTCCTCCTCTACCACATGCTCCTGCTCCTCCACTCCTGTCCGCTGAGTGGAAAAACCACCCATTTCACTCAATAATTCCTGAGCACCAATGTCCTCCTCTACCTCCTCCTCTTCTTCCTGTCCTGCCCCCACAGGGTTCATGTGGCGTTGAGATCTGTGCGCCACGTCTACCGCACCCTGACCAGCCATTGTTAACAGCATTTGTTCCAGGACGTGCAACAGAGGAATGACGTCGTTCATCCCATAGTCCTGCCGACTCACGAATAGCGTGGCCTCCTCAAAGGGCCTGAGCAAGCGGCAGGTGTCACGCATGAGCTGCCAATGGCTGACATCTAAGTTACACAGGGGAGTACCTTTATCCGCTTGTAACATCAGGAAATCAGTGATGACCTTTCGCTGTTCGTAAAGGCGGTTAACATATGTAGGGTTGAATTCCACCTTGTTGCAACGTCACAGCATGAGGAGTCGGTACGGGGGCCCATGGCAGATTACGGGCCTGGCAGCAGCAATGGGAGGCCCGTAATCTGCCAGCACCCTATGACAAAATGGAACCCACCAGCAGTGTGAGGAGACCTGAAAGTGGCACATGGCAGAGTGTGGCGATGGAGACAGCAGCAATGGGAGGCCGTACAGGGACCCATGACACACTACGGGCCTGGCAGCAGCATGAGGAGGCGGTACGGGGGCCCATGGCAGATTACGGGCCTGGCAGCAGCAATGGGAGGCCCGTAATCTGCCAGCACCCTATGACAAAATGGAAACCAACAGCAGTGTGAGGAGACCTGAAAGTGGCACATGGCAGAGTGTGGCGATGGAGACAGCAGCAATGGGAGGCCGTACAGGGTCCCATGAGACACTCTGGACCTGGCAGCAGCATGAGGAGGCGGTACAGGGGCCCATGGCAGATTACGGGCCTGGCAGCAGCAATGGGGAGGCCCGTAATCTGCCAGCACCCTATGACAAAATGGAACCCACCAACAGTGTGAGGAGACCTGAAAGTGGCACATGGCAGAGTGTGGCGATGGAGATAGCAGCAATGGGAGGCCGTACAGGGACCCATGACAGATTACGGGCCTGGCAGCAGCATGAGGAGGCGGTACAGGGGCCCATGACAGATTACGGGCCTGGCAGCAGCAATGGGAGGCCCGTAATCTGCCAGCACCCTATGACAAAATGGAACCCACCAGCAGTGTGAAGAGACCTGAAAGTGGCACATGGCAGAGTGTGGCGATGGAGACAGCAGCAATGGGAGGCCGTACAGGGACCCATGAGACACTCTGGACCTGGCAGCAGCATGAGGAGGCGGTACGGGGGCCCATGGCAGATTACGGGCCTGGCAGCAGCAATAGGAGGCCCGTAATCTGCCAGCACCCTATGACAAAATGGAACCCACCAGCAGTGTGAGGAGACCTGAAAGTGGCACATGGCAGAGTGTGGCGATGGAGACATGGGCCCCCTGGCCACGCTTGACTTTCTGGCCACATAGTCGACATACGGCTACGTTTACTTCCTCGGGCGGCTTGACGAAAAATTGCCACACCGCCGAGTAGGAAACTTTGCCCCCGCTACTCCTCACTGGCTGACTGCTACTTCCTCCGTGCAAACCGGCACCACTACTGGCCGTGGTGGTAGGCTGCAGTGGAGCTGGTGCTCTACTCCGTGGCCGTTTGCCTCCACTGACACTGCTGCGACCCTGCTGCCTCCTGGACAACCCACCGACTATTTTGCTCGCTGCCAAGCTGGCACCCTCTTCTCCTGATGATGCGGAAGCAATAGCCTGATGACGACGAGGCTGCCAAGTGCGATCAGCCTCATCATCATCAATTAGGGTCTCCGCCTCACTACTAGCCCCCTCGGCTGCGTGTGGGTCAGGAGACAGACCTGTCTCTAGACCGGCTACCGAGCCACTCTCCTCGCCAGTACTTCTTCGCCTGGCTGCTGAAGAGGCGGATGTCTCCCCCCGTTCCTGACCGCCCTCTGTTAGCTCTTCCTCACTGTACAGTGGGGCCGAGCCCACAGCATGCGATACTTCGCTTGGTGAGGGAACACCAAAGGACAGGGGCAGGTAGAGGACACGTGATTTCAGTGGGCTTGCTCCCGGGCCATGCCAACTAACGGTTGTGTCTGACGTACCCACCGACCGTTGGCTGTAGGTGTCAGAGGTGACCTGGGAAGAGGAAGACAACCAAGCCAACCAATCGATGACGGCAGGGTTGTCGGTGGAGACACGACCGCTGGATGATACCGGGAGCACTGGCCTCTGGCTGCGACTAGTGCTGCCTCGACCCCTTCCTCTGCTGCCACGTCTGCTCGCTCCTAAAACATGGCCTCCTCTGACACTCCTCTGCGTGTTGTCTGACATACTCTTTAATTCAACAATTCTGTGTCCCTGAGTAACGGTTCTGTGTCCCTGAGTAACAGTTCTGTGTCCCTGAGTAACAGTTCTGTGTCCCTGAGTAACAGTTCTGTGTCCCTGAGTAACAGTTCTGTGTCCCTGAGTAACAGTTCTGTGTCCCTCAGTAACAGTTCTGTGTCCCTCAGTAACAATGCTGTGTCCCTCAGTAACAGTTCTGTGTCCCTCAGTAACAGTTCTGTGTCCCTGAGTAACAGTTCTGTGTCCCTGAGTAACAATTCTGTGTCCCTGAGTAACAATTCTGTGTCCCTGAGTAACAATTCTGTGTCCCTGAGTAACAATTCTGTGTCCCTCAGTAACAATTCTGTGTCCCTCAGTAACAATTCTGTGTCTGTCCCTGAGTAACAATTCTGTGTCCCTAGTAACAGTTCTGTGTCTCTGAGTAACAATTCTGTATCCCTGAATAACAATTCTGTGTCCCTGAGTAACAATTCTGTGTCCCTGAGTAACAATTCTGTGTCCCTCAGTAACAATTCTGTGTCTTTCCCTGAGTAACAATTCTGTGTCCCTGAGTAACAGTTCTGTGTCCCTGAGTAACAATTCTGTGTCCCTCAGTAACAATTCTGTGTCCCTCAGTAACAATTCTGTGTCCCTCAGTAACAATTCTGTGTCTGTCCCTGAGTAACAATTCTGTGTCCCTGAGTAACAGTTCTGTGTCCCTGAGTAACAATTCTGTGTCCCTCAGTAACAATTCTGTGTCCCTCAGTAACAATTCTGTGTCCCTCAGTAACAATTCTGTGTCTGTCCCTGAGTAACAATTCTGTGTCCCTGAGTAACAGTTCTGTGTCCCTCAGTAACAATTCTGTGTCCCTGAGTAACAATTCTGTGTCCCTGAGTATCAATTCTGTGTCCCTCAGTAACAATTCTGTGTCCCTCAGTAACAATTCTGTGTCCCTCAGTAACAATTCTGTGTCTGTCCCTGAGTAACAGTTCTGTGTCCCTGAGTAACAATTCTGTGTCCCTAAGTAACGATTCTGTGTCCCTAAAGTATCTGTGGCCCTAACTCTGTCCCTAATACAGAGAGGTCTGTCTCTCTTGAATGACCGGAGGCAAATGGAGAATTGTAAGATGGCCACAATTTATAGCTCCACCATTACACAGTGCTGGCTGGCTGCTGATTGGCTAATGCGATCACATGTCATGAATGAATGCATTATGGGTCAGCGCGCCTTGTCTGCGCGCCTTCCCAGAGATCCCCGCTCCGTCGCCACACATGTCGCCGCCATTTTTGGAAAAATTTCGATTCGCGCATCCGAAGTCTGCTAATTTTCGGATTCGGCGCGAATCGAATTTTTTCTAATAT